CATTCTGTTGACGACCAATTTGCGTCCCAAGTAAACAACAGGGGCACAGGATCGATTGATCAGAAACCGGGATCTATGAAATCGAACTGCAAATATGAAATTCATGGAGTACGCTGGAATTTGTTGGACGATTAGATAGCATCCACATACAGCTCATCTCTCCGTGATGGACGGCCACGTTGTCGGCGTCGTCGTACCTTGGCCAACAGACGCCCAATAGTGTCACATTATCAGAACGGGGAGTTGGTGGCGTGTCATGTTTTCACACGAGTGAGTAGAGTAAGTTTGGTTTTGCGCCACCTTCAGCAATATTCCAGCAATAGCACGTTGGGGACACCAGAAATTGTACCCATTTGGAGAATCGAACCCGGGTCTGCGGCGTGACGAGCGAACGCTTGAACCACTAGGCTATCCCACCGTGAATGTTTTCCACACGAGTCAGGTCACATGGGTACAATTTATGAAGACCATTTCTGCTGTCCTCCGCCGTGATATTGCTGGAATATTATTGTTAAAGCGGCGTACAACCAAACTCACTCCGCGTAGAACAGCTGTACAATACTAATGCCTTTCAATCATGTTTTGATGAACACCGACTGAAGTAGGTGTGTCATACCGGTGAATACAGGCCAGTGCGGTGGTGTAGTTGCTACATACCACCATCACTGTGGGCGGGTCGCAGTGTCCCGGTAGCCCGACAATACACCCAGAGACCATGGCGTGTGCGGTGTTGTGAACGTTATCAGTGTTTGTTAAGCTGCATCTACAAGTACCCTGTCCCAGATCAGGGGGCGTACTTTGCACAGACGATGTCACCCAAGTCGTCAGTAGTCTAGTGACCCCGGCCAGCAGATTAGACAGCCTTATCAGTCCAGGTCAGCTTGGCCGTTTCACGTATGTCGATCAGAGACTATTTAGAATACGTACAAACTGGGCCTACCAACCCGGCATATGTCCGCCAGATGTCAGCACTCTCACTGACCTCGTCATGCGAGTAACGATTAACTGCCTGGCAATATAAAGTATATGTTTGATTGTGGCAAAATGGAAACAAACAATAAATGGTCACACGATGAAACATACCTTGCAAACAAGTGCCAGTTCGTTAACTGGCCTAGGCAATTTTATTCCATCAGAGGTAAGAAGTGTCAATATTTCTGATCAGCATAGCGTGTGTTCAATGAATAAGATTCTAAACCAGGTAGATCTCCCCATGGAGGATATGTCCGATCTACCTCCATTGTTTTGGGTGTTTACAAAATATTGATTGTCTTGTTTCGTAAAAAATTCCACCTGTATCCCATTAAATTACTGTGTATCTTCAGACTGAGCTGTCCCTGGCTGCTTAGTTTTGACTGTAACAGGGATTCAGAAATAAAATTTAAATTACAAAATAAATAAATAAATAAATAAATGTTTATGCTGCCTCATCTTGGTGTTTCTTTAATAATGTGTTTCGACACAATATATGTATAGCCCGACATATAGAACAGAACGTATATGTGTGAGGAGGTTAAGTTGAATCAAGCCTGCTAATGGGATTCACTTGAAGCCTAGTCGTAATACCTTTGTTTAATCTATATGAGGTATCCATCTCTCTCTCTCTCTCTCTCTCTCTCTCTCTCTCTCTCTCCTCTCTCTCTCTCTCTCTCTCTCTCTCTCTCTCTCTCACACACACACACACACAGAGACCAGAGAGAGAGAAGAAGAGAGAAGAGAAGAAATGTATACACTCATAATATTAAGAATATTCACCCAATAGAAAATGGCTACCCGGTGGTATAATAGGTCATATTATTATTAACCTTGCGCCACACAGGCAGCTTGGGATAACCGACAAGTTACAACAACGTTGTGCCCAAGTAACCATTAGCAATGTAAGTTTTAGCATTTTTTGCTAGTACAAGTATTTCTGAATTGACTTAATGGAGGAATCGCATCTCGCTTATTGTAATGTTTTTTGTAACCACAATGAACCGGAAAAGGGTCATACTATATATAATTGCATAGCCTAAGCATCTATGAAACCCCAACGTGAATGAAAACATGTAAAACAAACGCAAAATCTGTCTAAAAGCCCTTTTGCCCCACTCACATTTGTCTGAAGGGACTGACAACAGGTTTACGGGAAGTGATTAAGCTGGTGACCTGACATGAAACGTGTCCGTTTGCATAACAATGTTTTGCTTAGGCTGATCCTGGTCTGAAGAGGCTTAATGAGGTCATATGAACCTTTATGTCAAAGGCTACAGCATTTGTAAACATGTAACATTGTGAGCCCAGTGGCTTCGCACATATTGGGAAATTCTGTGACCATCTTATCTTACATTTAATACAGGTAACATGAACACACACAAAACTGTTCCAATACACACCCTTGATATCCGGAATGATACATAAGTCGGAAACATTTGAAAATTTAAAAATTTCCAAATGTTTTCCCCTTACAGAAAATATCCATACTTCAACCTTAGTAAACTAGAAAAAAAAAAATCGGAAATTTAACCATCTGTTACAATTGAAAGTAATGTATTGGAAATACTCGATGACCAAGTATTTTCTGAGGTATTAAAGTTTCTATTCATGTGTAGGAATTGTCTGCAAAATCCTGTCATAGCGTACATGAAATTGGACCTTGTGCATACGACAATATACAAATTAGCATATGTTTCAAGGTTCAGTTTCATACAAATAAGCGCCCAAAGTTCGGGAAGCGTACGCAAATCACTTTATTCACGTATATTTCAATTGTGTACTATCCGGCTTTTGGTCCGGTGATGGTTACTATTTTGAAACACTTGTGTTGCATCAACAATATTTTTCACAAGGTTTGTTTTGTCTGTGTCATTAAATTTACATTTCATAAGCACTACAAGCTCGTTCCAAAGTCATAATTGAATTTATCTTAAAGAATCCAGAAAATCTATGTTCCTAACAAACAAATCATCCTTTAAATATACGATTTAAATCAATTTGCAAAAAACCCAAATTACTACATGTTTATTCTTTATTTTTTTGTGTGTGCATTAAGAAGAGATAACAGGAACATTTGATGCATGACGCTAACCAATTATTTTCGATCATTGATCGGTTTGTAATGGATCAATCATCAGTTATGAGATTTTAACCAATTCCCAACACTAATATACTGAACAACATTAGAAACGCACCACTCATATAATACAGAAATATCCCCGGCAGACTAGGAAATGTACCATATATCAGGCACCGTCAGTGCATTTTAGTGTGGTGCGTTTCTAATGTTCAGTATATATTGGAGACTTCCATACGTTTCCATAAATTTACGTTATTTTTATTGTTTCAGGTCACACTCAGCAATATTCCAGCTATATGGAGGCGGCCTGTAAATAATCGCGCCAGGACCACACAATCCGGTGATAAACAGCATGAACATCGATCTACTGCAACTGGGATACGACATGTCACTCAAATCAGGGGAGCCTGACCACCCGAACCCGTTAGTGTCACCTCTTACGACAAGCATTGGTTACAGAGACCAATTCTTACCCGGATCTTCACGGGTATATGGGATAACAACGTAACATTGTGTTGTGTGTATGTAGCTGTTCCATTTCAAATTGGTAAAATAATGTAGAATGCTTAATCAGGAGGGAGACTCAGTGTCCTGTTCCACCGGTCAACGAAATTACAAAACTATAATTTCAATGTCTCACATATTTAAAAAAGCAAGTAATTATAGATTGAGTCGCAGGCTGATTGTTTACAGAACGTCTGGCGAAGCTGTGGACATGATCGATACATGTATCAAATTATCGACAACATACGCAAACAAAATCTCGACAACGGTAACAGTGCTCTGTGTACCTCCATTGGCTGTTTCGCTGAACACGTCTAATGATATATTTGTCGTATTTGTATCTTAAAGTGAGTGAGTGAGTAAGTATGGTTTTACGCCGCTTTTGTAATGTCCCACAGCAATATCACGGCGGGGGGACACCAGAAATTGAGAAAACTTCACTCATTGTATCTATATGAGGAATCAAACCCGGGCCTTCGGAATGACAAACCACCACCCACGCCCCCAATCTTAAAAGTGAGGAATGAACTACTAGCTGAAAAACAAATCGTTTGCTTAATGATGTGCATGGTATTGTTGTTTCAAAACGTGTTGGAAGCTTAGGACAGGCAGGAGTTCTCTGCCCCTAGCTTCAAATGGGAAGTGCACCCACTGACTTACGATCCTGAGTGCCGTTGTACGAGGAGATCTTAGCGAAAAGATCGTAACTATCATACCATTGCATCGACTTTCGACAATTTTAAGCGCTAAGGTTGTTTTGAAGAGCAACAGCATCCTAGACAAGGTCAGGGACAAGTGCCCAGTTTGAAACAGTGTGAAAAATTGGATGAAATTAGCTTTGACTGCTAACTGGCCAAAACCTTGACACTACTGACACATTATTATTATTACTATGCCACTACTACTGCTACTACTGCTACTACTACTACTACTACTACTACTACTACTACTACTACTACTACTACTACTACTACTGCACTACTACTACTACTATTACTACGACAATTGAATTCACACCATGAACCAACCCAACTTAACTTACTGAGTGCTTTTGTCGTGTACAATGACTTTCCTGATCAAAGAGGACTTGATTTGGGTTTTTTTCCACTCTGTGCATGAAAATACATCACCATGATGTACAAAGCTGTGTTCCAGCGACTCATTTGTGACTCTTGCGTTTGGCTAATCAAGAAATCGTGATATCGGCTCAAATATGCCTGAAGTCAAAAATCCTGAAATAACATACATGTTGTAGTTTCTTTCTGAGCTCTTCTTCACTATGGAGGAATAAAAGATTATATATACTACCACCACTACAACTTGTGGCACGTTATGTTTCCCATGACTCTCGTGGCTCGAAGCTTTATCTGACGACATTAGAGATTACATTGTTTCCCTTCACACATTAAAAGAGCATTTGCCTCTTCTTTTTACACTTTACCTTAATCCGTTGATGAAGAACTTTTCGTTATGTAATCCCTACGGTTTAGCATTCTCAGACGCTTCGTATAAAATTTGTAGTTACTTTGTCTAGCATCCCAAAACAGGTTTTAGCATTTATTTCCACCTTGGCATGACATCCCCCCACAGAAACCGTAAATATCAACCTCCAACGTATTGTTTTAGTTCCTTGGCGTATTCAAACGTCCATTGACGCTCCACAATTTGGCTTACAAACGCAGCCATCTTGGATTTTCCTTTTAGCATAACAATTTCTTGAGCGTGTAATGCGGATGCATTGTCAGAGCGCCAGCTAGCTCATAGGGCGCGACAATGTAGAATCTCTTGAATATGTTGCGGAGTCCAGTTTAACTGTCGGACAAAATCAAATTTCCCGTGGCCATGGGACTTTCTAAAGCAAGAGAAAAATCCACACTGCATCGGATGCCTGTACTTGTTTTCATATTGTTGTAACCATCAATGTCCTGCCCGAATAATATGGCATCTATTCGCTTTTCAGTGGTAGATTTGACCGACCAATTTGCAATTTGAACTGGGCATTTTATGGTCTATAAATGTTTTGTGTTCCTTCCTTCCGACGTTTAAGTTAGTTGGCCCGCTGTCAACTAGAATAACGATGTACGATTATCTCCTTTAAGAATATTCTGGATATTATTCATTTGTTCCAGTATCCTGTCGTGATAGTCCGTGTCCCAAAATAAAGAATCTCTGATACTTTCTTGCTAAAATGATCCACTGTCGCCTTTGAACGTGTTGACCGAGATCCACAACCTCGATCTATACTATTACATATCGGTGTTATTTCGGTATTATGTACCGACTGTGGTATCAACTTAATCTTAATGTCACGTGGTGGATA